AAAAAAAAAAACAAAACGCCAATAAAAAAATAAAATTGGAAATAAATATAAAACATACAGCAGCTTGCCAATATAAAATTCTATATATAAGTACACGAGTAATAATAAAACAGCGTTGTTGAAGACGCGCTCGTTACCGCCACTGCAAACGCAAACCGTCTAAAACCAACCGTCCGTAGTCTCTGAAGCGCGCCGAGCAAAAAAGTCAATTTTTAAAACTCTCGACATTCAGACAGAAAATAGCAGACAATGTCGTCGACGACGCTGCGCTAAGCTTTAGCGACACAGAGCGATGGCATAGCGCGCGCGGCTAGCATAGCTCCCATAGCCTAGTGGGGCGCGCGCATTAGGTAAGCAACCCAAGTAACCGGGCGCGCGCGCCTTCCATTCGTACGCTCTCAAGTCGCAATGAGCGCGCGGCGAACGGTGGCGGCAGTCAGTCAACAGCGTCGTGGCTGCTGCTGTTGTCTTCTATGTAATTTGCTATGCAGCGGATGTTTGACGTACGCAGTGCTCAGCAACTAACTGCCGCCTGCCTGCCAGCAATGAATGGTAGGCGTACTACAGCCAACGATTGACGCGGCGGAGTCAACGAAAAAGCCAGACCGCCACTACTAGCCACGTTACCGCGGCAGTGGCGTCGCTGCCTAAGTCTCAGGCGACTCTTTTTTGCGTGCACTCTGCGAATCGTTTATTATACATTTGTATATGCTCCACTACCGCGTCGCGCTTGTTGCTGCTATTGTTGCTGAGTGCCAAAACGCTGTGATCACTGTGAGCCTCAACAAGATCACCAACCAGCCAGGCAGCTAGCGGCATTGCCTATGCCATTCTTGCTCTGAGCGTCACGTCGCGCACTAGTCAAAAAATCAAAAAAAAAAAAAGAACCTGCAAATGGTTTGTCTCAGCCGTAATTCTCAGGCAGACTTACCCGCGCACATACCTATAGCTAAGTTTATGTCAGTTTGTCTGTACGTTGAATTGTGCCTAATGCTTGCGGCCATGCGATGCTGTGCGCTGAGTGATCCAAGCGAGCGTCCAAATTTTCGTTGGTTTTTTTTTTTTTTTAAATTTTATTTCTGTTTTATTGCTTCGGTTTGTTTGGCATAAGAGCCAACAATAAAGTGCCTTGGGACGCGTACCCGGCAACCGGCTAGCTGGTCGCCCCGCCTCGTCTCGCTGGCTCACTGGCTTGATGGTTGTCCGGCCGTCTGCCCTGCTGCTCAATTTGGCTCGCCATTAGCATACCTACAAATGAATGGACCCAGTCACATTCATGTAGCCTCACATATCTATTTGAAAGCTTTGCGTGCTTGTTGCGAGGGGTGTATGTATATATGTATGTACTGTGCTGTGCCGTGTTGTGTTGTGTGCTGTGGGGGGTATGGCATGGGCTTCTAATTTCAGTTTGATCTTTTTTATATTCTTTCGTACAATTTGTTTGTTGGTTTCATTTTCTCGATTAGTCAAGAGATTTTAGTCTAATTTTTCCGTTGAAAATTAATTTGAGCAATATTCAACAAATGCATAATTGGTCTAACATACAACCAATTTGTTAACCCTTTAGTGGTTGGACGCTAATGCACATGTGGCCTTGCCAAGGTCAAGTGGTATATTTATTGAAATATCTTAAGTTTATTTTTGCTTTGGCAGGGTAGCTTTTGAGGTAAAAGTTTTGATTTAAAAAGGACAAATTATTAAGCAATTGGCATTTAGTAATACATACATACATATACTTGGCACGGATGCGACTTCACAAAAAAATTATCCAAAAAACTGCAAATACTTGTACTTAATTTTTATACATATGCGAAATTTCTACCGATATATATATATATATGTATATATTTATCGGTGTAGTTACATTTAATCATGCTAGTATGTGCAACAAAAAAAAGTCGATATTGATATTGTTTTTTTCGATAAATGCATTTACATATTTCGCTAACGATATCCATTATTATATTCATATCGATAATCATACCGATAAATATATCAATAACATTCGATACGAATTTCACTCCTATCATTTCTACTTCTATACATATATCTCTTTATTAGGATGCCCCCCCAAAAACATTTTCGTGTTTCCACCGCAATTATGAAATCTTTTATATTTTCAGACTTTGCAAAAAAATCGGAGTAATTTTAAAATTTAAGTGACTTGAACCGACTTGCAAATACCTAAAAAATCTATTTTTTTACACAAAATTAGTTTATAAAAATATTTTTTAAAAAAACTCACTTTATATGATAGAAAATTTTAAGGTCAGGTGAGGTTTTAACAAAAAATATTTTCAAAAACTAATTTTATTTATAAAAGCAACACGATTTTTGGAAGTATTTTCAAATTGGTCAAGCTAACTGTAATCCTAATAGTTTGTAAAATATTTTGGCAGGAATCGTAAAATATATCTAATATATTTTATAAATTCGATGAAAAATCAGTACCGAAATTTTTTTTTTATGGAGAGTGATGCACTCTTAAACTTTTTCGCTTCTCTTGCATTCGTTCTTCGGTTCTTTTGGAACAGTTTTTCGATTCTTCTGGAATCGAGTTTCAATTCTTTATACCCGTTTTTTAGCTCTTGTAAGGTCCATACCTTAAGACCCGTACCGGACGGTTCTCGTTGCGATTAAACAGCTTCAGTCTCTTATAGGCGGTTTTATCGTTAACATTTCAACAAGTTTACTGGAGCTCTCTTCCTCTTTACACCTGGACAAACATGGCATTATTGGCGCGCTGAGTGGAAAGAAAATTTCAAGCGCTCACATCGACAGACTTTGTTAGCGTCAACCTTCTTTTTCGCCAGAGCGTGGGTACAATCGTAACTTGTTCACCATGACGATGGCAGTACTAGACCAAGTAATCTCACCTCTCAGCCGTACATTTCAGAGTAGTCTCAAAAAGGCTTGCCTTCGGACCTTAACTCACTCGTAAGCGAAGGTTTCATTGCTCTTCGAAAAATATTTTGAAGCTGCTTATCAACCTCCATTTGGTAATGTACCAATTCGTATTACATTCCCTTAAAGTGTTAATTCTACCTTAGCAAGCAATTCTCAGTTTACGCCCTGAAGTTATGTATATGCATACACTACAACAACAACAATACAAACCACAAATCACTTCACTCAGCCAAACATCGGCTGACAACGAGCGTCAATACCAAGACCACATGTCCCATTCGAACCGGCAAGTCAGCAGATTTAGACCCTAAAGCAGTGTGTGTATCTAAATATTATTTGTATTTGCGAGTATTTGAGCCGTAACACGTGTGAGAGAGAGAGCGAGAGTGAGCGCCGAGCAGAGCTTAGAAGTTTAGAAGCAATTGCAAGCAAGTCGAGTTGAGAACATTTGGAGTACGAAAAATTAGCAAAAATTTTATCAACACAAACTTCTTTTTGGCATATTTTTCTAAGCGCGCTCCACGCTCTCTGCGGTACGCCAACGGTAAATGGCGCTCTAGAGCTCGCTTGGCGTTTGACTGCGCTGCGCGCGCGCCTACATACCTTGCATCTTGCTGCTGCTTTAAGCTGCCGCGCTTAATCGGCTTGGCTTGAAACGGTGTTCTCCGCACATTCCCCAGCGGCATATTTTGGACTTAAACATTTTTTTCGCATATTTCCCTCACATTTTTTGTGATACTTGTGGCTTTTGTTATTTTTTTGTTTTATTTTTCTTGCTGCCCGCTTTGACACTCACCATTCACTAGCTTCGTTGTTCAATCGCGGTTTTGGCTTGAGCACGTTTTGTGGTTCGGCCAGCTTTTGTTTCGCGCGTGTGTGTGATTTTTTGTGGTATAGCGATACTTAACTTAATTTTGAAACTCGTTCTCACTGTATTTACATGTCGTTTTTTCCTCTTCTTCCTCAATTTTTTTTTTTGCAATTTTTTAAATCCTTTTTGTTTTTAATTTTATTCTTTTTTTTTGTTGCGTTTCACCAGGCGTTTGCGTGTTTTGTAGCATTTTGTAGTAGGCTTTTGTTTGCTTAATTGTGGTCGATGTATTGTACTGTTTTCTTTACTAATCGTGGCCTTTGTGTTTATTACCCTTTTTGTTGTTGTTATTATTTATTTTAGTTGTCCATGCATGATGACTTTGCTGTTATACATAGTTGAATAGCAATGAAGCAGCTAATCGCTTGAAGCTTAAGTCAGTTGCTATTTAATTTTTCACTCTTCCTTATCATCATTTATCACTTCGATAGCACCTACAAATACTATATTAAGAAAAGAGGAAATTTTTCAAAATCATTTTAATGATAATCGTGCGCTTGCAATCAAGACATCGTATCTGCAAGATAAGTTCTATGGAAATTCGCTTAATCACCGGCTACTCCCGCGTACCCTTTCGCCGGTAGTACCTCTATACACACATACTCATTCATGCTTACGAGCATCCTTCTTTTTTGTGCAATATAGTCACGTATGTATGTATGTACATAACTACATATACATATACTCTACATGGGGTCATTCCATGTCAAATCGGGCAATCGTTGGAACGGCCAATTTTAATTTGGATGAATTTGGGTCAGACCTTTTCTTCTATCATATAGAGAAAGAAGTTCTGCCAGAGAAAAAAATATTAAATAAAAATCCAAGGTTATGCAAAATTCTAAATTGCATAATTTTGCAATCTTTTAATATATCAAAAACTATTATATTTGCGAAAATGGTTCTCGTTTTAAATGTAATATTTAGGGCTTAAAATAATTTTAAATTTACAGAGTTTTGAATTTAAAAAAATCGTAAAATCAAAAACATATAAACACTTTTGGCTCAATTTTTGTATACAAAAGATCCTGAAATTTTCAGGGTTTTTTTGTTGTAGATTTCATACAATTTTTTTTGCAAAGTTATGGTTAACACTTTTCAATTATTACACAATTTTTTTTTCATTTCCAAATATTCATATCTTTAAAAAGAAAAAAAAGTTCAGGATATTTAAGATCAGTTAAAGGTAGCGTTGTATAAAAAAGTTACAAAAAAATGTGTATAAAGTTTTTGATTTTACGATTTTTTTGTAATTATATTTTGTTATATAGCCCCTAATATCACCTTTAAAATGAGTTCAGAACCTTTTTTGGCGACTACATATATGTAACATTTTTCGAGATTAAAAAAAAAACTACTTGCGAAAGCCAGG